CAGCTGAGGAGCCCTAAAAAACGGATGAGAGAAACAATGAAAAAAGGGCGACGTGACTCGATACTTTTGTCATTCATCAACGCCGGAGCCGGAGCCGGAGCCCGGGCGGGCCCGGCCCTTGAACGCTCCCGACATGTTGATAAGCTGATTAGGGCGCACGGAGGCGCGGCACAATGCCGTCGCGTCGCCCCCGCCCCCGCCCCGCCGCGCCCGCCGAACGCAATCCGCCCGATTGAATGCATGCATGCTCTGCATATTGTATCGTCCCGCTCAAAGGCGTCCTATCTTATCTGATTCGTCTCATAATTAACCCTCGAAAATACGCTCTGTTTGTCGCGCTGTTGCCGCCGCCGGTACCGCTCCCGGCTGGCCTGGGGTACCCGGGGGGGAGGGGGACTTTGATCCGGCGAGTAGATCCGACGCCAGATAGCCGGACTCAAATTTTTTCGTCTAGTGATTTTCAGCGCGTCGAGCGAGGAAGTGTAGTGATGGCCGGAGAAATCTGGGAAATTCAGGGGGTGAATAAAATCTGGGGAAAGTATGCTGATGGTCAGGGAATTTGTTTATTTAGAGGAGAGGACGCGTCGGCCGATCGCGCTAGTTTATAGTTGATTTCATTGTAAAGTCAGAGAATTTCGTTAAAATCGATCGGGTATTTTTTCCCCCCCAAAAATGTATAACGAAAAAGCAGGGTTAAGTCAGGAAGTTTCGATGTTCGAGTTAAGCTATTACCTTGGTCGAAAGCAACGAAATCATGTTCATGACAACAACTCCTCTTAATCTGATGTTTCGACTTGGATTCGTTGTATAATTTCTTGGAAATATTTTAGAAATCCGTCAATTGATCGGTGTTGAAAACGAGGAATAACTTCCGTTTCCCTCAGAACTTTTTCGTTCGTTGATTTTTTCTGTATTCCTTTTTCTAGCGGTCTGCTTCAATTTGGCGCAAAAAAAAAAAAAAAAAAAAAAAAAAAAAAATTGTTTTAAAGAAGAAAGTGCCGATATTTTTTTGACGAGTTCCGGAGAAAAGCACAGTCTTCCCAAGAGACTCAGAGATGAGGATCTAAGGAGGAACCGCGGAGTTCGTCGGGTTTTATTAGGGAGGCACGAAGGGATGAGAAAGTCAAGAATGGCAGACACCATGCATAACTCGTTCTGTCATTAGACACCCTCTATATTCACATTCGAAACAGTGCCTCTGTACATTGCAAATTCTACTTTTCACAAACTTAGGGTCTATCAATAAATCGTCATTAGAGTAGCACGAAGAGATGGTGTCTATGTTCGCTGCGGTCTTTCTCAGATTAGTTTATCAAATCTCGTCCGAATACTATCCTCAAATCCATGCACGAAAGAATGAGTGAACGTTTTGAATTGAAAGGAAATCTCTTTTCTTCACGGAAAAACTTAATGGTTGGATTGATTACGCAAACAAATAAAGGAGACTTAATTATATTTTTAAATGCACGTAAATCCGGTTTAGAGACCGAACGATTAAAGCAGAGATGGCGACGTAGAGCACAATTACGGAAGGACGAGGAAATTCCGTCCGAATCATTAACATTCCAAATGTCCAATGTTCCAAATTGTGTAGTTGAAAAATACACGGTGGTCTAAAATACAAAAAAATTAAGCATTTACTTAAAAATTGAATATACCTGAAAAACAGTGTTATATTATTCTGTAATGTTCTTGGACTGAAAAAAACTTGTTAAAACTAACAACGACCGGGTAGTTTAATACTGACCCACAAGATACTGATAATTGACCAACAGACAGGGTACAAATTTAAACACTCTGATACATGTTTCCTCCTTTATGTGGATTTTTTAAGTTTATGAAGTTCCCTTAAGAGTACTACAGGACCTCCTTGAGCCACCAGTCAGAATTTCTGGAGGTGCCGAAGCACTTTAGCACCCCTCCCCGGCCTAATCCCTGTTTATATTGACTGCGTAACCCTCAGATATTGACGTAGAATATTGATAGTGTGGCCACGGCTATCATTTCCTAGTAATTATACTGAATTATTTTCCCATTACGTCAAAATAATTATGTATCCCGAATAAAAGTTGGTGTAATCATCGTGAATTATTGGTGATCTGTGTCTACCGAGAAAACGGTACTTTCGTCAGCTCCCGTTCGTCTGCGTCGTAAATCCAACTATTTAATTTTTCCATGTTCGAGGTAATCTTACCGTGCGAATCTAATAACTTATTTCGTGTTTTTCTAGGCCTATACCTCAAGTGTCTTGTCTAACTGGATGAGTCTCCCGCCATTTTTCGAATCGAACTAAAATGAACTAAACATTTTTACGACCTCTCAGACTTTTCCCCGAAAGGGATGATCGAGTTGACGAGAACTTGTGAGTAAGCTCTGGACTTTGGTCTGCGAGTGGACACTTTCTATCGGATTGTACTACTTCAGAGAATATCGTAACCGTAGTGCGTTTACCTTGAAGTACAAAGCTTAGTTACTTATTTAGTGTAGAGTAGTAAGTTTTCGAGTTCGCACCGGTCTCGTGTTGGACGCCGCGTGATCTGGAGCTTCTCTGCGTGGATTTCCGTCGCCGCCAAAATTGCAACGTTCAGCCTCACAGAAGCCTCGGATCCCCTTTATGATCCCGAAGGTAAGAAATTACCAAAATAATAAGCGTAGTGGCAACAGTGGCGAACATTTGAAACATGTAAGACATATTTTTTTAATAATTTAACAATAAAATCAACAATCCTTTTTTTTCTGTGTACCACAGATCTCCTTAATAAATGCCTTAAAGAGGACTCAATTGACGACTAGATTGTCCAAAATCATACTAAACGAGGAAAACAGTGGCTAGGAAAAAATTGTCGGTCATTTTCTGAAATGAAGGGATGGAGAATATGGATTCCATAACCGAGCGGAGGCGAAGTGAGAAAGCGGAGAACTTTTACTCTAACTTGGCTCATTTTTACACTACTTTGTAAATGCTTTTTGTTTTTATTAGTTTAGGTTGGGTCTCTTATGAACTAGATTTCTCCGCTCCGAGAGAGTCTGATTCGAACCGATGATCAGACGCCTTCGCGATTCATTCTATTGACTTTCGAGAGAAAATTGGTGCCAGGTGCCTGGGCGCCTAGTCATCCAGGAATGGTGTCCCGCAAAGTTCTGAGACCCTCTCACAAAACCCTTCCCCTTTATTTTCCGCACATTGTCTCTGACAGAGGAGCCAGTGGCGTGGCGTGCTTTGCGATATATCGATTGATCGGCCGTTTAAACCTATGGAAAAGTATCGATAGACAGGGTGTTCGCAGTGAACACCTGAATAATCGATTGTTTACCACAGCTTCAAATGGGGAAATATCGATAGATCGCAAAGAACGCCACGCCACTGAGAGGAGCTCACTGTTCCTCACTTGAAAAAGAACACTTAGAGATGGTCCGAATCATATGTAACAAGGTGGTGAAATGGTGCTGGGTCCACACCATTTCGCGGGGAAAATAAAACCAAAAAGTGCCAAAAATTTCAATTAGAGTCAACAAGTTTGAGCCCTAATGAATACCAGTACAGGTCAGTCAGTCACTGAGAAAATTGCACTGCAGCTTGTATAACCGAACTTCCTGGAAAAAACGAAATTGCCGATTTGACAATTTTGTAGTTTGGAAGAATGTTCGACATGTCGTCACCTTTCGGCCAAAGTATCACGAGCGCCATTCGAAATTTCCGCCGCCATTTCATATTTTTGCAGAGAAATTGCTCGTTAAATCCGTTTGAAATTTTCACTGAATTTTAATCGGCAGCGCAAAGAAAATTTAGTGAAATTTTCGGACAGTTTCGTTGAACGATTTCTCTGTAAAAAAATAAAATGGCGGCGGAATTTTGGAGACGTCGCTTGGCGCTTGTGATATTTTGGCCGGAAGGTGACGAACTATAATCTAGCAATTCCGAACCGAGTCAAATTGACCCGACTCTCTCTTCATACTGAGTCACGGTGCTGGTACATACGAGCATCAAATGTAGGGCCACAAATAAATCCTAAAAATTGAAGCAGACATCAATTCTAGAGAAAAAAATATGAGCCTCAACGCAGCCGAAAATATGAGAGACGTACTCGGGCTTCCACGCCTCACGCTATTGCGCCTTCAATTTTGCAGACGCAACACGGCCATCCATCAAGTACGAATAGTTGTATCTCTGCGCCGTCGCCAACGCGCGTTCTTTGCCTCGCTCTATTCCCGTGTTATGTTGGTTCCGCTTGTCTGCTTTCTAGAGGCGCTTAAAGGGTAGCGTGAGCGCATGGCGCTTGTGATACTTTGGCAGAAGAATTGTTGGTTGAGTCCGTTTGAAAATTTCACTGAATTTTATCGGCAGCACTTAGGAAATTCAGTGAAATTTTAGAAACGCTTGGTTGGACGATTTCTCTGTAAAAAAATGAGATGGCTGCGGAAATTTTCACACGCCGCATGTTGCTTGTGATACTTTGGCCGGAAGGTGACGATGTTTCAATACAGTTAGTTACGATAAAAAATGCTAATTCAACCATCCCAGCGGTTAAAGTAGCTTTTGACTACAGTGTAAATCGGATAATACGACATCGGTTAAGACGACATATCGATCATAGCGATTTTATCGTACCCGTGATTGACTTCCCATTGACTCAGTGTATTTGTGCACCGGTTATGACGACAATCGGGTATAACGACCAAATGAGGCCGGTCCATAGAGGGTCATTGTATCCGATTTTCACTGTATTTGAAAATGCACGTTTGAAACATATCGAACATATTTTTTAACAATTTAATTGTTGAATGAGCAATCCATTTTTCCTGTGTTTTTCTGGGTGTTCAGATCCAGGGCTGGGGCTCTGAACTCGAAGTGGCAGCGCGGGTGGGACGTGGACGAGGTGTTTAAGGGTTTTAACGGACGTTAGGCGATCGTAAATTGCCCTTTTTACTCTCGGCCCGAGGAAAAAATTCCGCTGCCGGCGACCTTCTCTGACGAGGCTCAATCAGCTAAGTGCGGCCGACGCTACGAGCATGAGCGGCTGCCATGCATGGGCGCGGCAGCTCCCGATAAAACTCGTCAACCATCCACACTTGTTCTTCCCTCTCTACCGGCAACTAATTACGAGACTCAGACCCGTTTCATCCCCGCACGGAAAAACAGTTGCGGGCCTTATAGAAAAACCGTCCGTTCCGGGCTCAGATGTCGAAACGTTCGGGCGATGGAGCCGTAGCTTAGACTGCTCCGGGTGATACGCCCGGAACTATCGGCCTCTGAGCCCGGAACGCGGACGGTTAGCGTGAATGGTCTTTCTTCAAAACTAATTATACAGTGGTAGTTAAAAGCGTCCGATTTCTAGATACCAATTATCGAGCTCCTTTGTCGTGGTATGGTATCACCCCTAGATGAAGGCGAATCATACTTCAACCTGTAAACAAATCAAAGCAGCTTCCAGCCGCAGGCGTTATGCGTTACACGTTACTTTTATAGTTTTATATTCCAGAGTATGTTTATGTCGATTACTGCCGCGCTAAGGGTAAACGCCGTATGAGCCTTTAGGCGTTGCCAAACTTGCAGGAAAAATTTCGAGTTTTTTTCCGCAAATTTCTCCAGATAACTTTGTTTGTAATTTGATCTGAAATGCCTGAAAATTTCAAGGAAAAATATTCATAATTTCCCTGAAAAACAAGCATTTTACCCTCGGAAATTTGGCAACTCTCGAGTGTTCATACGGCGTTCTTCCATAGCACGGCAGATTAGATTTCCACTTAAAACGAAAATATGACGTGAAGTCTACAATATCGCAAACCGAGCCCATGATCTCTTGGTATTATTTTGCTTTGGCATAATTTCGCAACAGCCGGATTCGCGCACGCCTAGCAACATCCGACCCGATTTAGGGACGAGGCGAGGTCGAAGAACAGGCGAAGCTAGATTGCCGAATTATTTGATAAAGTTCACAGCATTTACTACGAGCCACTCAGAAAATTACCGAATTTCACACCAATCCGGCAACAGAGAAGCGAAGCGAATCCCTCGTCGCGGCGTTTTTGCAATCCGGGCAAAAACCCCTCTCGATCGCTCGGACATAGTAACCGGCTATCGAGGGTCGAAAATACTGGAGTTAAGTTTGCATGAACAAGCAACGAGGGGGGGGGGGTCCCAGAGCCCACGGCTGAGAGCCCAAAGGAAGTTGAGAGCTACGTGGGCGAGTTTCGAACAATGATGCCTTATCTTCTTTCTCCCCCGAGTTTTTTGCTCCCCGAAAGCGGTTTGTTATGTTTTACTTCGGCCCATCGAGTTTGGGAGAACCAGGGAGCTTTTCAAAAGCCCCCTCTCCCTTCCATGGGATATTATCAAAGTCGAAATTGTACCAAGTATCTTCACCGAAGAGAAATTACATCCAGAATGTTTGAATGATTGTTGAAATGATTGTTGAAATGAATGATTGTTGAATGAATGTTTGAATGTTGAATGATTTTACATCCAGAATGTTTAATCAGCATCCGCTAATTAAACATTCTGGATGTAAAAAAGTGTGCGACAACTCATTACATAGGGCATTACATAAAGTGGAAAAAATAGGAGAAAAAAGGTAGAAATGGTACATAAATAAAATTGAGAAACTAGGAATTGCTTCTCGCCACGAAAAATGGCGCCGATTCCCATGGAGCAGTGCGGGCTATTACCGATGGATCCATTAGTAACATACCCGCCGCAAAACGGCCGGAAAGAGCGTACACTACTAACGTGGTGAACGCTCAACATATGTTCATGTGTACACCGTACGGATATTATAAGATGAAAACCAAAGCGGGAGCCTACACTGAGAAAAAAAGTTCGGTAAATCCGAACTAGTTTGGATCATATGGAACCACGATTTTGTTCGGTACACACAACCGAATTATTCGGTCTGTTCAACCGAATTGTTCGGTTTGTGCAACCGAACCATAATCAATTCTTACAGTTCGGTACAGAAGACCGAACAGTTCGGCTGAGCAGACCAAATAATTCGGTCGTGTGTACCGAACAAAATCGTGGTTCCATATGAACCTAACTAGTTCGGATTCACCGAACTTTTTTTCTCAGTGTAGGAAACGCTCCAATGCCAAATTAAACATTTTTCAGTAACAGATGCAGTCAAAATTGAAAGTCCTCTTTAACTAGTTATTTCGTGCGCCTTCACTCTTGTAGGATACTGTGCAACGCCTCTGACGCGAAATAGTTGCTTAAAGCGTTGCGGCGCGGCAGGAAACCAGCGTGACACGCGCATAGGCGCCTACAAACCTAACGGGATACTCCACGCGTTGCGCAATGCGTGAAGTATCCCGTTAGGTTTGTAGGCGCCAGTGCGCGTTCTGTGCTGCTAACACGCCGCTCCGCTCTGTGTTAGGCTCTAATATTTAAACTCGCGGAGTCAGCGTTTTTCAACTCATGATTTTGAAATGTTTGCACTCTCTCCATTGATTACTCCCTTTTAAACTGATGAAAAAGAAATATGTACTACTGGAAAATGTAATGTGATTTTTGTAAATATAATAGTCGTTCTGTGTCAAATTTAATGATTTCCAAAGCATTCAAATTTATTCTTTTATGTTTTGGGCAACGTAATTTACAACGTCATCGTGAAGAGTATCGTAACTTACGGG